CAGTCTGTGGGGTTGCAAAGAGTCAGACACAACTGAGTGACTAACATCACTCCACTTTTCTTTCATTATGCTTATTTTATCCACCTCCTGGTACTTGAGGTGAAATTTAAGACTAGCATTTCAGAGCTGTAAGGAATCTCAGCTACTGTTCATTTCAACTCTTATTTTTATAATTGGAGAGCCCTCCTCACCCCAAAAGTTAAATGTTTTCTTCAGGTCATATGGCCAGCTAAAGAGAGTCAAGATATGGTTCAGAACTCCTCAGTTCTTATTTTTACATCCTATAGTTGTGGATAGAAAACATTAGTTAAATTAGTATAGATATTTTCCCTAAATAATTAGCACCAATACACTATTTGTTCATTCAATAATGCTTTCCAGCATACTAAGTACCAGGCATTCTGCCAGGCATGGTAGATTATCATTGCCCCCATGGAATGCCACTAAAAATATAGATGAGTAAATAGAAAGTGATAATGCAGAATAAATAGGGGCAAGTGTAGGGGTGAAGGCAGGATGCTTTGGGAGAGCACAGATGGTCGCTTACCCCAGTGTTAAACTAAGGTAGGCCCATTTGGAGGATGTGGTGAGATGTAGGCTAAGTCCTCTCTAAGAAGCATCATTTAGGTAAAGAGAATTGGATATGGAGGATGAAATAGCATGCCAGGCAAACAGAACACCCTACTCAAAGGCCTGGAAGCGAAACACTCATGAAACTACCTTTCATAAAGTGTTTCTTCATAAATCATGCCTTTGTACAGTCTAATTGCCTTTTCTCACATTAGTAGGTGTGGGAAAGACTTATGAAATATATAATTGAGGAAAAAACTATACAGACCAAAGCATTGAAAAATAAACTCCCTCAGGCTGGGGTAAAACCTGCCGCAGTCTCCATGGGCTTACTGTGAATGAATTTGATTCTTAGCTATAAGTTATTAAAAATATCATTGATCATTAAAAGCATATACACTCTTTTGGAAACAGAAAGCATGGATTTATGTATGCCTTGATACTTGCCACCAGTATCTAGAAAACTGCCAGAAAAAATTACATTTTTCCCCCAGGTAGAAAATGGGAATAATGATGGTGTTCTCTGCAAAGATCAGTTTCTGCTGCTGTCTTTGTAGAACTCTAATCTTTCTTACTTATCATCAGGAAGGCGTGGTAGACCACAAAACTCAGTTTCCTCTGTCAAAAATTTTGGAAGTAGGGTTTCATGAAGCTGACAGAAATAGAAAATGTGGTTTTTAAAGTTATTAAAAGCTGTCTTGTAATAATTTCAAACCGTCAGAAAATTTGCAAGATTTTGCACAAAATTACATATACTTTTTACCCAAATTCCCCGTGTTAATATTTTACCACATTTGCTTTATCATTAATTCTTCCTTTCTACCCTCTCTATATAGTTATTTTTACTGTATCATTTAAGAGAACACTGCAGATATGATGTCCCTCTTTCTCTAAATACTTCAACCATAGTGCAGTTTAAAAAAAAGTCATGAAATTAACTTTCATACAATGTCTTAGTTTTCTCAAACTGTACAGTTGGTATAATTGCTAATGTACCATTTCTAGAATACCTTTCTCTTATATTTAGCAAGCATCATTTAATACATATTTACCTTCTTTTAATTTCTTGCTGAGTGAGAGGAAGAAAGCTCTCTTATGACATAAAAATGTTAATTTCTAGAAAGTTATATACTTCCTCATAGATAAATGAAATAGGTAGGCAGTGCATCTTCACAGATTATTAATTAGAAGACACTTGAATTTTATTAATTTCCCTGTAAGTCAGTCTATTTATAGATGTTCAATTTAATCTTCAAATTAGATGATGCTAAGGACTTAGATAAACTTGGTTTCAAAGCTCATTTTTAGCCAGATTAAATATATATAGAGCCAAGGAATATTAAGAAAATAGGCTCTTAAATACCTAGTACATATTCTAAATGTTGCAACTAAAAAGAAAGATGGAAAAAAAGCCTCTTGTGAATTCATGGGATTATTAATTTTTTATTTTTAATGTACAATTCTAATTTCCAGACTGGATCATTCTCTGAATAATAAAAATATGTGACAGACACTTATATAGCATGTGGCAGTCTATAAAATGTGTTTGCATGCATTATTTGTTGATATTAAGAAATCTTACCTTCAAATTGTTAAGTGGGTTTTATCGAGTACAACACATTGGTTTTCATGCAGAGGTTAGGTATTGAAAAGACAGAATGGTTTAGCAATACAATTTGAGCAAAATATTTTTGCTGTTTGTGGTATTTGTAAGGTACATTGCAACTATTCAAGGTTCTGTTAAAACATGGAGTTGCATTTGGGCACTTAACTAGCAGTATATGATCAAATCTATTTCCTGTAGGGAGTGGTGTTTTTTTTTTTTTTAACATCCTGTCACATTCTTTGTATCTTTAAGCTTTGCTGAGAGCTAGTGGATCTTATCTGGCTGAATAGAGATTCCATTTTCCTCTAATTGCTTTCCTGAAGAAGGTTCTATTCAGGCTGCTTCTCTTTTTCAGACCATATTCCAGATCACACTTTTTCGGGTCACCCAAATAGCTTCCGACCAAGATCTAGGAGCACAGAAGATATGTCACAAAGTTGTGTTCTCTATGGACATGTGTGAAACAAATTATTTAACCCTTTTATTTTTGTTATTTTGTATAATATAATTAATAGAGCAATATTTTCTAGTCTTTCTCAAGTTTATTCTTTTAAGAAATTAATGCATTATATAAGCATTTTTAAGTGAAAAAATTGTGATGTACAGTAAAGTTTTCATAAAATTTATTTTGAAATTGTGAGGCTCATTTAAAAAATCATATTTGACAATATTCTTAATCTCCTCTTTGATCGCTTTTGGTATTTCGCTTCTAACTGAAAAAAGTGGAACTATTGAAACATCTGTTTCTATTGCTGAAGAAAAGTCACTCCACTAAGTGACCGATTGTATCACTCATTTTGAGAATTCTACTTTCTAAAGGACTTGGATGAGATAAAAAATGGATATTTTAAATACCTGCAACCTTGCCAGAAATTGCAAGAAGTTTTGTATATGCCAATTAAGCAAGAGGAAAATGAAACTCCATGTGCCAACAAAAATTGCAGCAGATTATGGTGAAATAGGAACTAAAACCTTGTGTAAAATTGTACACCATGACTTTAGCTCAGGAAATAACTTCAAGTTGATCAGTTGCTGGGGGGAAGAGATTAAATAAGTGCACAATATATTGGTTCTCCTCACAGATGACAGAACAGTAATTTGAACAATTCCCATGATAATTAAGTAGAGAGAGTTTCTGCTTTGGATATTATTTCCCTCATGTATTTAATCTCATTACTTAGAATTTCTGCCACTTTTCAGCAGGTGGGGATTGAAATACTTTGTCTGAACATACCAGTGAAGAATCAGGCTATGGGTTTTACTCCTCATGAGTCATTTAGCTTCACAGGAAGAATTTAAAACTGCTAAGATCAACCTTCCAATCTCTTTCAGATGTACTCATAATAACAGTCTCCAGAGAAATAAAAGGGTGTGGAGAGATCGATCAGCATAGACCTGGAGCTTAGGCTCCTTAAAAAAAAAAAAAAAAAAAAATCCTAGACAAAAAGGATTCTTGGGGGCTTCTTTTGTAGATAATGCAGGAAATGCATTAATTTTTTAACGTACTTCAAGTTTTAAACATATACATAGCTTACTAAATAAGAATATTGCTGAATGATGATAGTAAGTCAAGCAATTTTCTTGAACATACAGTTTTCCAAAGGAGGGCATGCATGATGCAGTTTCACTCTAAAAAATCCTGTTAGAGCAAAGAGCTGGTATAAAATAATTCTTTTCCAGGATTATTTTGTATTGGGTGGAAAAAAAACAACAACACATATAGGATAAGAATTCAGACAGCTTAAATAGAAGAAATGTGAATGTAGTGATTATTCCAGGTGCTGAAATAATTTTATACCAAGAAATGGAAAAAAAACTGAATTATTTCAAGGAGAAATCTCACAAGAATATCTGTTTTTTTTTTTTTTTTTTAGGTAGAGTTTTGAGTCTGAATCCACTCCTGTAGATTGTCATAGATTAATTTNGAGAAATCTCACAAGAACATCTGGTTCTTTTTTTTTTTAGGTAGAGTTTTGAGTCTGAATCCACTCCTGTAGATTGTCATAGATTAATTTATTTATAAATGCCAGTATAATGTTCTTTCTCTACCCAATAGCTTTGTTCAAGTCCTCATTAACCCCCACATGGATTCTCCCACAGCTTACTAAGTGGTCTCTAATCTTCCATCTTGCCCATCTCCTAGGCATTCTCTATGACACAGGATGAGTCATCTTTCTGAAATATAACTTTCATTTTAAGAAACCCATCAATGTTCATTAATGTTTATCCAAAATTTGGAAACACATTTGAACTTTTAAATTTGGACTTCTTGAGCTAGTAAACTCTTTTCAGCTTCCCGAGTATGACAAACTTCTCTTTTTTTCTCTTTAACTTTTTAGCCAATTTAATCTCAAACCTTCCCCCAAAAGAATCTCATATCACCCAGAACTTCCCCTAAGAATTGTTCTTAAACTTTTGAGTTTTCTTAGGAAGAGCACATACTGGCTTTAAGTTTTTGAGGCAAAGGATGTTTCAATGTTTTTGCGCCCTCAGGGCTTGGTATACAGTGGCTGGTCTGTAAATTTAGGACAGTGAAATGAAACACCAACCTCACTCTTTACAGCCTATATGCTTACGTATAGATGTCATCTGAGCCCTAAGGTTAGGCTTGAATATACTGAGAAAGAGCTACATTTCTGAGGCTTTGGGTTTCTGTTCAAGGGTAGTAGAGTCTCTTTAAAATAAACTCAGATCTAGGGACTTCCCAGGCAGTCTAGTGGTTAGGACTCCTGCTTCCACTGCAGTGGGTGCAGGTTCGATCCCTGGTTGGGGAACTAATATCCCATATCTTTTGGCGTGCCTCATGGCCAAAATAAATAAAATAAAATAAAATAAAAAGAGAGACCCGTACATTTAAAAATAAACAAACAAAGAAACACTACATCTAGCATTTTATGATGCTCCTAAAACTAATCCTGCAAAGTAAAAGCAAGGCTGCTCTATGTTTTATGTATGTAAGGGGATGGAGTGGTATGTATATGTGGTGAGTTTGTGGTTTGTAAAAGCATCAACCTGTTTTCTTTTCAGATCCTTCAAAAATGGCAATGGTATCTGAATTCCTCAAGCAGGCCTGGTTTATTGAAAATGAAGAGCAGGAATACATTGTAAGTCAAGTGACAATAAAATAACTTATTTAAATAGTAGTATTAAAATAGAAGCAAATGTAAGTGAATGGACAATAATTTATTTTTCATTCACAGAAAACTGTGAAAGGATACAAAGGTGGTCCTGGGTCAGCAGTGAGCCCTTATCCTACCTTCAATCCATCCTCGGATGTTGAGGCCTTGCATAAAGCAATCACAGTTAAAGGTAATTCTGTCTTCCCCAAATAGTCCCCTCCTAGACATTTCAGAATGGCTACTAAAAAACAAACATGTGCAATGGAAAGAGTCTGCTTCATTTTGAAGATAAGAGTTCTTTATCAATGAAGTTACACTTCCTTTCTCAGTACTTAGGAGATTTTGATTAAATTGGTAGACTCTACTGCTACAAGATATCCTTACAAAGCTCATTTCTAACAGTGAATGCTGAAGTCAGCACCTCTGCTCACACTTAAGGTGTGAATTAGGAACAAACACTACAACACTGAGGGCTGGGGAAAATTTCTTCTTCCTTTGGTGTCTCAGACGGTAAAGAATCTGCCTGCAATGCAGAAGATCCTGGTTCAATCCCTGGGTTGGGAAGATCTCCTGGAGAAGGGAATGGCAACCCACTCTAGTATTCTTGCCTGGAGAAACCCATGGACAGAGGAGCCTGGCAGGCTGCAGTCCATAGGGTCGCAAAGAGTAGGACACAAATGAGCCGTTTTCACTTTCTCATTCAAGTGAAGGGACTGTCATCCCAAGGGCTTCCATCTGATACACAGAGTCGCATCCATGTCCCAGCCTGTTATAATTTATACTTTGTTTTGTTAAGAACTTCATTTGATGCATCTTGATAATGAATCATTTTGTGTCCGTTATTGATGATAAAGAAAATTGATTTTTAAAGTCTAGAGGCCCTTTATTTCCAGGTGTGGATGAAGCAACCATCATTGAAATTCTGACTAAGAGAAACAATGCGCAGCGTCAGCAGATCAAAGCAGCCTATCTGCAGGAGAAAGGAAAGGTCGGTTGCAGTGGTTAATTTAGATAATTAATTTCAGTCATATTTATGTTTAAATATAGCGTTTGATGGGCTTCTCAGGTAGCAGTGGTAAAGAATTTTCCTGCCAATGCAGGAGACACAAGAGACACGGGTTTGATCCCTGGGTGAGGAAGATCCCCTGGAGTAGGAAATGGTAAGCCACTCCAGTTCTGTTGCCTGGAAACTTGCATGGACAGAGGAGCCTGGTGAACGACAGTCGATGGGACCGCAAAGAGTCGACTACAACTGAGTGTGCGCGCATTGATTTTGAAATACAGTTGCTAGTTCTTTCAGTCTCGCCACTGTTTCCCATTACAACTAAGTCTGGGATTACTGTATTTATCCTCTTGGTTGCAATGTAATCAATTCTATTGAATTTGCTGGTTTTATGCATTGTTTTGATTCTTTGCACATGTGGTGTTCTATATTGGAGATAAGCCTTTAACTTGAACATAACAGATGTCAAGATTACTGTTGGCAGTAAGAAATATGTTCTGATTGAAATGTGACTTCTGTTAAATTTTAAACTGAGCTGTTTAGTGTCTGAATGTAAAGTTTATATGTATAATTCTACTTTAAAAGTAAGGTTTCTATTTTATACAAAATATGGGTAATTTTTTTAAGTAGTGTAGTTATAAAACCACATAATGTCTGATTATAAAGCTTATTTGAAAAGTGCAAATCTCAATGGTTGGAAAAGTTACTAATACATTACTAATACTTATTTTTAAAATATTCTCATTACTATTTCTGTTAATACACAACCCCTATCTTTTGAGCTTTGTCATTTATTCCCTCTATAAAAGATTGAGAATGCTGTCCTTTAAGGAGTTATCAATGAATTCAGTAAATTTCATTCTAATCACTCTAGAACCAAAAAGATTAAGGTATTAAATATTGTGTACCATTTTTGATGTAAAGGGAAGGAGCTATGAAAAATGGTTGGGTTTAGGACTCAGTAAGATTAGGTAAACATCAGGTGATACTGCTTTACTATATCACCTAATGTGTTATTAACTAAAAGGTTATATATCTTCTTGTTATAGCCCCTGGATGAAGTTCTGAAGAAAGCCCTCGTCGGTCACCTTGAGGAAGTTGTTTTGGCTCTGTTGAAAACTCCAGCCCAGTTTGATGCAGAAGAGCTCCGTGCCGCCATGAAGGTAAACCGCCTGATTTAAGCAAAGCTCCTTTCCTCAAAGCGTGTCCAAGCCACTTATGCCTCCCAGTATGTTCTCAACAACCAGCACGGGACCACCAGTCAGTGGTAATAAAATGAATAAGTGAATGAATAAAGAAATGAAAAAATAGATGCTGGTGTTAATAACTATGTTATTTCCACTATCTTCATGACATTACCATATTTAATAGATCTCACTTTGTATTTATTTGCCCAAAATATTGGTATTAAACACATTTTGTGTTTTAAGCAATATAATACATACCTTATTGCAATTAATAAATATTGTGGATATTTATTAAATGTTGTGAGAAATTTACTAAATGTCAGATTCAGACAAATTTTGGAACATAATAACTAGTTGATACTTTTGAATGAAGATTTTTCTACATTTCTCTCTCTTTTTTTTTTTTTTTTTTCAATTTAGGGCCTTGGGACTGATGAAGACACTCTGAATGAAATTCTGGCATCAAGAACTAACAGAGAAATCAGAGAAATTAACAGAGTTTATAGAGAAGGTAAGTTTTAATGCCTAACAGTCCAAGTGTCTTAGTTGAAAAGGCATTCTGATACACTTTTTGAAAAATTTAGTGTGGATGTTAATTATGGGAAAAGTACATATTAAAATATTTCTTTCACTGTCTGTCACAGGACTATCACAAGCACATATGGTTACAAGACGCATTAGAGTTCAGTTCAGTTCAGTTCAGTCGCTCAGTCGTGTCCGACTCTGCGACCCCATGAATCGCAGCACGCCAGGCCTCCCTGTCCATCATAAATTCCTGGAGTTTACTCAAACTCATGCCCATCGAGTTGGTGATGCCATCCAGCCATCTCATCCTCTGTCATCCCCTTCTCCTCCTGCCCTCAATCCCTCCCAGCATCAGGGTCTTTTCCAATGAGTCAACTCTTCGCATCAGGTGGCCAAAGTATTGGAGCTTCAGCTTCAGCATCAGTCCTTCCAATGAACACCCAGGACTGATCTCCTTTAGGATGGACTGGTTGGATCTCCTTGCAGTCCAAGAGACTCTCAAGAGTCTTCTCCAACACCATAGGTCAAAAGCATCAATTTTTCGGCAATTTAGTGAGGTACAAATAAGGGACACGATTGTTTCAGTCCTCATCAACTTTGCACTTAAAAAAATTGTGTGTCTGAGACAAATGGCCACATAGTATTGCAATGAAAAACTCAATTCAAAGCACTGAATTTAAATAATTTTCTAAAAACATTTCCAATTTTTCCGAGATCTATTGCATAAAAATATCCCATTGTCTTTCATTTTGAAAAGATAATAACAACAAAAACAAACAAATAAAAACCCTCCAAACATTTGTCTTTGAAAAGGTAAACAGCTTGGTGCTTATAATTCTCTGATGGAAGCTAACTTTACCATTATGAACATAAATAACTTACTCACTGTTAACATCCAGTTAGCTTCATGGGGATGAAGACTAGCCATGGCTCATTTTATCTGTTCAGTGAAACATTTCATTTCAGTGGTATGCTTACCACTGTAAAGAGAGTATCTGCAAATGGGCCCAGGGCAGTGCTGGGTCATCACTGTTTTCTTTTTTCTAGTTTCCCAAGCCCCCTGGTTTTTTTTGTTTGTTTGTTTTATTTTCCCAACCCAATATGTAGCACCATAGAGGATCACTCTGTGTGATTTTAAAACCAAGCACAGAGAATACAATAGTCCTCGTGTATTATTTTCACAGCAATCTAATAAAGGAATCAGAATAAGGAAGCTTTTAACCTCATTTTCTGCAAATCTTACCTCATTATCAATATTTATCTTAAATCCATTTATCAGTGACAGTCATCAAGAGGGGCATTATTACTACTTTTTTTTATTTTATAAAACAGTTTACAAAAGCAAATAGCCATAAATTATTAATTCCTAAGGTACAGTTCAATGACTGTATATTAAAATTTTCTGCCTTCTAGTCAACTATAAATTCAGTTAAATTTTTGCTGAAAATAATAACAGCATTATTTTTTAATGTCAATAAAGGGTGTTTAACAAAGAAACATTTTAAATCTATATCTATTGTAGATGTTTATACATACACATATGCATACATAACTAAATGTATTCCGTATAAGATATTTATCATTTCAAAGTAAATAAATACTCTATGTTCAAGCAAGCACTTTGGTTTATCCTTTTAAATAACTGTTCTGTTCACCCCATTGCTTAAATTCTGGTGTGATTTATTTCAGAAATAGTTATCTAATAATGTATACCTGTGCAATTTATTCTTGTTAGCAAAAGCTTTAGGGCTGTAGAGTTTCATTCACAGTATTATCTAAATTGTTTTAATTGCCTTATAGAAAATAAATTTGATGATGAAAAATTTTACTTGCTCTGATTTCACTTTATTAAAAAATAAAACTATTTGAAGTGTGTTCCATAAGTCATTGAACATTTGGCATTGCAAGTTGTGAGCCAATATAGAGATGTTAGATATTATAATCATCACCATTATCACTAGTTTACTACAAAATATAATTTTCCTATTTCTCAGAACTGAAGAGAGATCTGGCTAAAGACATCGCCTCAGACACATCTGGAGATTATGAGAAGGCTTTGCTTTCTCTTGCTAAGGTATAACTAAAATAGATCTGGAAATGTCTCTTTGATGAAAAGAAAAATCTTAGATTTCATCTCTCTCTAGAAATGAGCAATTCACTCCTTTTTCTGCAAAGAATATTACTCATCTGATTTTAAGAGAATAAATAAGCCATGTGATTATATGCTAGAAAACTACTTACACGAGAATGGGATATTTTCCAGGGTGACCGATCTGAGGAGCTTGCTGTAAATGACGACTTGGCTGATTCAGATGCCAGGGTAAGCAAGTGCTTATAAATACTCTTAGAATCCACTTTGCTACTTCAATTAGGTCCGACCTGAGGTGAGGTACCACTTGAGGGCCTCCACGTGAAAGCAGATATGGGATTCTCCAAAAGGATAATGGCACCTAATGTCCATTTCCTGAGTGATGCCCACCAGCCAGGACTCAAGCAATCCAAGAGAGGAAATGTGGTCTTTATGTTTTCAACAAGTTGCAGTGTTCATGAAGCTGGAGAGGATTGAGAAAGAATAGTAGGAATTTGATCTGTTATTGAGAAAACTCTGAATTTTTATTTTACCAGGTATAAGAAAGTAAAAGTGAAAAGAATAAACACATTTAACAATTCTTTAAACAGTGAACATTGGTTTAGAGGTGTAAGTTTATATTGTAAAAATATTATGGTAATGATATTAAAATTATAAAAGTTATAGCATTTGTATACTTTCAAGTATATTATTGTATGTTGTTTCAGTGAGGTTGCTTATTTTTTAATACATCAGTCCATTGGCAACATTAGAAAAACTGTTGTCATTTTGGAACTTGGAATTTTTGTTGACAAACTGGCATCTAGTATTTACATATGCTTTTCTTATGGTATAGTTAGTATTCTCCACAAATTCATCACAGTGAGTTAGTAAAAATAGAAACTTACTTGACTACTCCACTCTCTTTGCTATATCAGTGCATTATCTTGTGCATAATAGGCATTTATTGACTTTTGTTGAATAAATGCACCTATGTCAGTTGTTTGCTCAGAAAGTCCCGAATAACTTTTTATGCCCATTGGAAGTTTTATCATTTTAATAGAAATTGCGCAATCACGTCAAGGAACAAAAGTAAGCATTTGAGTAACTGCCCATAGTAAGAAATTACTCTTATTTGCTGTGATACTTATGAATTTGCTTTCCATTCTAAGACTATCAGGGAGCTTCCCTGGTAGTCCAGTGGTTAGGAATCCACCTTGCAGTGCAGAGGACACCAGTTCAATCCCTTGTCCAGGAAGATCCCACATGCCTCGGGGCAGCTAAGCCCACGTGTCTTCAGCCGGTGCTCTGCAACAAGAGAAACCACTGCACACTACAGCTAGAGAATAGCCCCTGCTCTCGACAACTGAGAAAGCCCACATGCAGCCGCAAAGACCCAGTGCAGGCAAAAATAAAAATGAAAAAAAAAAGACTATCGGGGCTCTTAGATGTATATTTATGGCCACTACATGGATTAGTGTGACCCGGGAGGAGGGTCACTTCAAAGGTAACAGAGCATGTTGGTAACAATAAGGCAGAGATTATCTTTTCTATTTACAAAAGAGGAAAGCCTGTAGCTTAATAATGTGAAACTACATAAGATTATTAAGATATCTTAGTACTAATATCTAGGAGCGATTAAGTTGCAGAGTCAGAATTTGAATTCAGAAATTCTTACTTCAAAATTCAGCATCTAGGTAATGGTTGAATTATTGATTTATTAGTACCATTTGCTGAAAATTCCTTTGAACAATTAAAAGCAAAATTAAAAATTAGAGAGTACCCCTTGAAGTTTTCTTGATATAGAATGTAAACTTAGAGCGAGTTAACTCAATAAATATTTATTTTGCACGCATAGATTCAGTCTCTAGTGTTTGCAAGGCAACTTAAGAGATATTATGGAAGATACTTGACAAAACAAGGTTTCCATCTCTAAGGAACTTGTAAATCTTAGCATTGCCACCTGCTCTGATTGTATTGGACACAAAGCAGCTGCCTCCAAAATCTTTGAAGAGATCTAACATTCTTATGCAGATATCAAATCTGCAGATGGTCAAGTGTTTGTTTTTGTGTTTCTTAACAGGCCTTATATGAAGCAGGAGAAAGAAGAAAAGGGACAGATGTGAATGTGTTCACTACCATTCTTACCACCAGGAGCTATCCCCATCTTCGCAGAGGTAAGAAGAAAACAAATGTTCCCTGGAACTGTTTGAAGAAGTCACTTTTTTTTTTTTTAAATGAGGACAAGGAAGAGAAAGGAAATGGCTTCCCTAGTGCCTCAGATGGTAAAGAATCTGCCTGCACTGCAGGAGACCTGGGTTCGATCCCTGGGTCAGGAAGATTCCCCCGGAGAAGGGAATGAATGGCAAATACACTCCAGTATTCTTGCTTGAAGAGTCCCATGGTAGCAGGAGCCTGGCAGACTATAGTCTATGGGGTCGCAAAGAGTTGGACACGACTGAGTGACTAACAATTTCAAGAGAAAGCAAGAAAGAAATCTTAATCAGTGACACTCTGAAACCAAATGGATGCAGTGCTCTTGATCTCTTATTGCTACTTGTGCATTTGTCCAGCTTTGTCCAGACACCACTTGATAGTATTTGAAACACATTTTATGACTTTGGCATGTAAAACATTAGTTCGTTATTTTTACTATTTTTTTCCCTCAAAATTTTGAAATAGGTCTGACAATATATACTCATAAAACAGAACACATGAAATTATAATGAAAAAAAAAAAAGATCTAAGGCTAAGTGAAGAAAAGAGTATCTAGATACTCCAGAAACAAAAACCAAAAGAGGGTTTTTGCCGCAAGACTTAGCCCTGAGTGTTTTGAAAGTCAAGACAAAGGGCAGGTCGTGATGATTACTTCAAGTTTATTATTTGATAACAGCACTCTGATTTTTGAGATTAGAATTAAGAGGAATCTACAACACAGATCTTTATATAAGGAAAGATCCATTTGCTGTGGCACTTGGCTCTGATGTAGTTACGGCCATCAATCAAATGTCACTTCTAATAAATGTCAACATTTGCAAAAATTTTCCCAAAATACACAGAAGCACAAAAATAGCCATGTGAACTACATCCCTCAGAGAAGATGATGTATCCAAAATATGCTTAGATGAATAGTTAGATTTACATTGTGTTTTTTGAAGTTCAGAACTCCTAAGGAATGTTTTGGGCTTCCCAGGTGGCGCTAGTGGTAAAGAACCTGCCTGCCAATGCAGGATACATAAGGGATGCGGGTTTGATCCCTGGGTTGGGAAGATCCCCTGGAGGAGGGCATGGCAACCGATTCCAATATTTGCCTGGAGAATCCTATGGCCAAAGGTGCCTGGCAGTTGACAGTCCCTGGGGTCACAAAAAGTCAGACACAAGTGAAGTGACTTAGCACATGCACAAGGAATGCTTTGACTTCGTGGCCATGGCTGATTTTGCTAGTTTGCTAAAAAACAGGATGTTCTGTACATCTCTAAATTTAAATTTAATATTCAGTGTTTCAGAAATACTCCAAGTATAGTAAGCATGACATGAACAAAGTTCTGGACCTGGAGTTGAAAGGTGACATCGAGAAATGCCTCACAGTTATTGGTATGTAGTCCTGGAGGGGGGAGGGTTTTCTAACTTGAAATTGCATTGTCATTGTTGTCCAATAATTTACAAAATAGAATAATGAGACAAAAACTCAGATATAATTTATGTTGCAAATAAAGGTAGCATGTAAGATAATGGCAATAAATAGTTAGCTAAAGTGATGCAACAGTCTTGTTAGTAATTGCAGGTATTATTTCCTTGATTAAAAAGATGAGCAGGTGGATGATACTGAACATCTGTTTATACCACGCAATATACCAGGCTGGGCATGGCACAAAGGAAAGCCAAAATGGCCACTAAGAGCATGGGATTTGGAATTAGATAAATGAAGGTCCACATCCTGGTCTGTCACTTGCTAAGTAATCTTGGGCAATCTTAAAGGATTTAGACTTTCAGAAGAAAAGAATTTTAAAGTTTTCCCATTTTATTCAGATGACCAGTCGAGGTTTGGAAACCTACATTATAAAGCAGTGCTTCTCAAACATTAACATGCACATGAACCTTTCGGGAATCTTGCTAAAAGGCAGATTCTAATTCAGTAGGTCTGGGTGGAGACTGAAAGTCTGCATTCCTAACAAATTCTCAGTTGACTCCAGTTCTTTTGGTCCATAGATCACACTTGGAGTAAGAAAGTAGAGAATCTTCTTAATACTGATTGATACATCTGTTAGTATTTTATTGGCAGTTGCCTTATATTTTATGACTGTCCTGTCCCACTTGGATTTTTTTTTTTTCTTATTACAACTGGAAGAAAGTATTTCTTGCCTGCCAACATGGCCTTTAACATCTACTGGTTTCCTTGTTTCCATGAAGAGTATCCTCAGGATAGCATAAACTATTGAAGTTGCTATTGGTGGATTTAGGATAATAGGAGATAAATGATATTATCAGAGGACAAAATCACCATCTAAAAAGTAGCTTCTTTTAAGCCAAATATCCCTCACTGGGGGTGGATAGTGAGGAACAGGGATGGAGAACAGAATCTTACTTGCAGACCTCTGTATTTCCTATTTCTTTCATATGTACCTTTCTTCTTTTGTGGTAAAGATGTCAGTTAAAACATGCCTCTCTTACAGTGAAGTGTGCTACAAACAAGCCAATGTTCTTTGCTGAGAAGCTCCATCAGGCCATGAAGGTAACATATGATTTGCTTTGGGGAAAAAATTATTGTATGGAGAGAACAGAAAATCCCATATTGTTTAAAAATTACATTTATTTTTAAATATCTTTTCATTAAAAAGAATTACTTTTCTATCCAATGCAGGAGGTAATACACTTACTTCTTAGAATAAAATTCTGTTAGACCTGTTATATTCTTTTATAGGTAAGATAGTAAGGTGAGCTTGAAAGCAATTTGTATATTACTTATGATTTGCATAAAATCTGAGTCAGCGGAGGAAGGGCGATATACTTCCTCTTTTAATGTATGATTTTAGCAACCTGCTTCTGCTAAGGTTGTAAGTTTTATGATCTCTTCTAAATTTCATTTATCTTTTTTATTGTTTTGCTTTCCATGGCATTGCTTAATATGTCATTCTAAGATTTTAAAATGTCATTCTAAGTTCATCAAAGTGTAAGGTGTTATTAAGATGTATTTGAGATATCACTTTAAGTATTTCACTTTATTGTCTAGCTTGTATTTTATTATATAGGATGGTACCTATATACTAGTGAAAAGTTATGAAGTTGTATATTTTTTTCCTTTGCAACTCCAAAATAAGGAAGTCTTAGGAGAGAGCAATCTAACCATTCAGATAATAAGAAAGAGTCCCTGTGATGTGATAGGCATTGTTCCACTAGGTAGTTGGCAGTACAGTTCCTGACCCCAGGCCTGCTGTTATCTAGTGAGGTTATTAGATGGGTAGTGAGAACACCTAGTATTGTTAATGAGAAGAGGGACCTGTGTCCCTGACTTTGGAAAGCAGTGTAGGTGTCAGCTAAATTACAATATGCTATTTGAACAGGATGAGAGCAGGAATGTAAGGAATGAAGGGGTAAAGCAAGTCTGGTCCTGGAGGAGAACATAGCATGTCTCTTTCAGGATAATAAATATAATTAGAGTGATGGTGCATGGTGGAAGAAGTTGTAGAATTAAACAGGACATTGTAAGCTCAGGTGAAATGATTGATTTTCATCCTAATATTAACAGAAGGTCACTAATGGGTTTTAAGTAGATGAATCAGATGATCAGATTTACAACTTAGAAAGTTTACTTTGCAATTCTTGAATAGCTTAGACAGAATAAAGATTGGATAGTGGAAGATCAGTTAGGAAGTTTTAAAAGCTCTATATATGATTCTCTTATCACAGTTGAGTTCGTGTCATTTTATTACCACTTGTGTTTGTGTGTGTGTTTGTGTGTATTTTAATGTGGAAATAGTTTCTCCATAAAAACGATATAGGTTAGCAAAAGAGCTTCACATTCAAACCCACATCCTGCCTTAAGAGTAGGATCGGAATATAAGGGACACTTAACTATCATTTGTTTTCGACAGGGTATTGGAACTCGTCATAAGACACTGATCAGGATTATGGTTTCCCGCTCTGAAATCGACATGAACGATATCAAAGCATGCTATCAGAAGTTGTATGGCATCTCTCTCTGTCAAGCCATTCTGGTATGTTGTAATTCTCATTATGTTACCCCCACAAATGATAATTTTTTTGCAACTTCTTCAAAAAGAAGGGCTGACTTACTGTATCCATAAATTACACATATAAGATAAATTTGTTATATTAAGATACGGAGACTTTTCTTGTGGTCTAGTGGTTAAGACTGTACTTTAACTGCAAGGGACATGAGTTTGATCCCTGCTTGCTGAACTAAGATCCCACTTGCTGCACAGTATAACCAAAAAACAAAAATTTTTTAAAAAGATACATAATTTAAAGTAAATTGAACTTTCACTGGTAAAATCTGCTAGTAAGTTCTATACAGAAAGACTGCAGATTTTTCAATAGTCATGGAAACAGTTTACCATATATACATTTAGCAATCAAAATACTTTGGTAGAGATATATAATGATGTATGTTGCAATGAATATTGATCTGAGGATTAGAAACTTTTTATTCTAAATTTTTCCTTAACTTTGTCATATGTAGAAAATATAAAATGCATGTTCAAGTTAGAAAGTAAAAAAGAAAGACAAGTCAAGGAGATTTGAACTTAATGAAAGATAGATGACTATTTAAATTCAATTTGGCATTTATATTGGATAACAAAAATCTAACATGAAAAGTGAGACTATCATGGACTTATAACCTTCACTCTGGTTGAGCAAGTCAGAGGTGATATGAAATTATATTTTGCTGTATTTATTCTGTGTTACATTTCATTCTTAGAAAATGATGGCTTTAATACAGAATAATCAAGAGAAGTTTGCAATCTGAATTTTGAAAGCTATTGCTTTTCATATAATCAATTAAAAATACCAGTTATCTGCTATATAAATTTTATTAATTAAATAAGTGATATTCTTATCCAAGATCCTAAAAAATTGATATACTGTGATGTATGTTAAGCCTAATATAATAATTATTCTGTAATTTAAAAATACTTTCTGTTGATTGTGGTCTCAGGTAGCTTTAATTATACTTTATTTTTATCAACAGGATGAAACCAAAGGAGATTATGAAAAAATCCTGGTGGCTCTCTGTGGAGGAGACTAAACATTCCTTTGATGATCTCAAGCTTTTTGATCAGAAGACTTTTTAATCATCTTTTCATTCCATATCATAGATTTAAATAGGGAAGTTTCTTCAGTAGGTTTATAGTCTAGTAACTTCTTCCTGAAAAATATAGCCTATAAATCACTTTTTGTATTACAACTCTATAAAATAAAGACAAATTTTTTTTTAAAAATATAGTTATTCCAAACTATAAAACCCTATAAAGAGGTTGTTCTAGTAGCAATGCCTAAGAAAAATGTTTACCTTGCAGAAAATAAAATTATTTTACAGGACAGTTGATGTGTCATTGATTTTTCTATTCTGATTTTCTTTTGTGTGTAGTGCAGTTGCTTAATTTGATATCAAGGGACAGGAATCTGAATTTTATATTATGACCACTTGTTGAAATAGATTTTGTATATTAAATAAAATATTCACAGAGTTAGAAAATGAACTTTTTACATTTTACCATCTCTGTGTATGCTCAGTTTTGCCTGACTCTTAGTGACCATGGACTGTGGCCTGCCAGGCTCCTCTGTCCATGAAATTCTGAGCAGCTAACACATTTACTTTGCATTGCATGTATTGTAGCTCATATAGTAAAGACTATCTGCAATGCAGGAGACCTGGGCTCAATCCCTGGGTTGGGAAGTTCCCCTGGAGAAGGGAATGGCTACCCACTCCAATCCTCTTGCCTGGAGAATTCCATGGGCCAAGGGGACTGGCAGGCTCCAGTCCATGTGGTCACAAAGAGTGGAGCACAACTGAACAACTAACCCTTTTACCATCTGGATGCAGATTATTGAGATAGTATCTCTGTATAATAGTGGAATTTATTGCATAGCATTGTAACAATTGAACATTCTGTTGTATTTCATGAACCAGTATAAAGATGAAATGGCATCAGCAATAAAAATTCCTCACTTTAAAAAAAAATGGTAGTTGCTTGTATAGATTTCTAAGAAACTATCAAACTGTTTTCCAGGGTGGTGTACCATTTTACTTTCCCACAATAAATGCATAAGTAATCTAGTTTCTCTCTAACCTCATCAGCACTTGACATTGTCACTATTTTGTATTTTGACATTGTCTATTTTTTTATTATTGAATTTTGAGAACTTTTTATATATTCTAGATATTAGTCCTTTGTCAAATATGTGGTTTGCAAATATTTTCTTTGAGTCTGTAGCTTTTTATCATCTTAATAGATAAAGACTTTCTTAGAGGAAACATTTCAAATTTTAATTAGGTTCAGTTTTTTCCTTTTAATGATTTTGCTTTTGGTGTCACATCTACAGGCTCTTTACCTAACCTTAGGTCCTGGAAATTTTCTCCTCTGTTTTTCCCCTGAGTTTTATGGTTTTTCACTTTCTATTTCAGTTTGTGATTCATTTTGAACTAATTTTTTGGTAACAGTGAGATGAGACTTGGTCAAATTTCTTTTGTTTGCTTATGAACATCCAATTGCTCTCACACCATTTGGATAAAATGCTATTTTTCTTTTATTTAATTCCTTTCGCACTTTTGTAAAAAAAAAGAAATCAAAATTTTCCTATGAGAGTATTCTTACCACAGAGGTGATAATTTATTCATTCCCCAAATAATTCAGCTGGGTATTTAAATTTCTGACTATATCTTAGCTTTATTCACTTGATTGTAGCTTTATTTGCCTTAATCACCATTCCTTCACTTTCCTCCACATACATCTTATGGAACAACCATGATGACTTGGCCCATAACATATTAGCCAAACTGCGGCTAGTAAAAAGTGGAAGTGATGTCACTCAGTTGTGTCCAACTCTGCAACCCCAAGGACTATAGCCTACCAGGCTCCTCTGTCCACGGGATTTTCCAGGCAAGAGTTCTGGAGTGGGTTGCCATTTAGACATGCTGCTTATTGCGTCGCTGACTTTTCTAGTTCTTTTGTTACTATATGTGATACCTTGTGTGATGGATTGAGAAGTACCTGAGTGGGAAACTAGAAGGAACCTGGGGCTGGTTCATTGAGACAGGATGGATTTACCCAGGTGTTTTTGTTATCACTGTTCTAAATATAAGGTCAAGGTGGATCAAATAATATTTCTGCCAGTTGATACTGTGGGGCTTCCCTCACATCTAGTGGTTAAGAATCTGTGCTTCCATTGCAGGGGCATGGGGAAACTAAGATCTGACATGCCACTTGGCATGGCCAAAAAAAATTTCTGCTGGGGAATTCTCTGGCAGTCCAGTGGCTAGGACTCCGTATTTCCACTTCAGAACTGCAGGAGGCATGGGTTTGATCCCTCATTGGGGAAACAAGATTTTACAAATGCCCTATTGGGCAGTCAAAAAAAGAAAAAGATTGAATCCACACTTCCTCCTCTTCTAAATGATTTTTAAGGAAACTGCCTAACTTTGTTATTCTTCTTTGCCTGTCTTACCATCCCCATCCATTTTCTACTCTTTTTTGCTCCCCTCTGGAAATTGACTTCTGAAGACTTCACCCTACAGGCTCACTTATCTTCTGACTTCTGGGTGAATTCAGCCCTTGGGAGGACCTGGTAGAAAAAGGGAGATCAGGAGGAAGTATTCCTTCTATAGAGATTTTATACAGATTTATGAATCTGATTCTATACAAGTTTATTAACATGTATGTTCTACAAGTATAACATCTTGTGGATGGCCCAGGCTCTCAACACTTTCTTTTTTTTAGAACTTTCCTTTCTTGTTACTTGGATCCTGGAATTCATGCTGATACTGGTCCTTGGGCACTGCAACATTCAATGTTGTTTCCTTTAACCTGCTCCCACCTCTAAATAGTCCCTTATTTAACATTAACAGATAACTCCCAGCTTGGTGTGCCAGTCTTTTCCTGCTAGGATTCTGTATAATGATACTTTGCAGAGATACTAACCTATATATTTTATCAAAAACTACTTGAGAGGCTCATGACTAAATCCCAGAACCTAGGTTAGGTAAGTGGATACCTAGTTGAATGGGAGAGTATGAAGTAAGTAAGTAGAGATATAAAGAAACATTTTAGAAGATAAAAATACATATCTCTCTATGATCCATGAAAGAAAAACATTGATTAGACTTCATTAAAATGAAAACCTTCTGCTCTGTAAAGATACTGTTAAGAGAATGAGAAAAGTCATAGACCTGGAGAAAACCTTTGCAAAACATCTGATAAAACACTGGTATCCAAAATATATATAAAGAAAACAATTGCCTAATTTAAAAAGGGCTTCCCAGGTGACACTATTGGTAAAGAACCTGCCTGCCAATGCAAGAGACATGAAGACATTAGAGACATGGATTCCATCCTTATGTCGAGAAAATTCACTGGAGGAGGGCATGGCAGCCCACTTCAGTATTCTTGCCTGGAAAATCCCCTAGACAGAGGAACCTGGCAGCCTACAATCCATAGGTTCACAAAGAGTTGGACATGACTGAAGCAATTTAGCATGCTGCACCTAAATTAAAAAGGAACAAAATATCTGAATAGATATTTCACCAGAGAAGATACACAGATGGCAAATAAGCATATGAAAAGGTACTCTACATCATATGTCAGTAGTGAATGGGAAATTAAAGTGAATGAAACACCACTATACATTTATTTGAATGGCCAAAATCCATTCCAAGTGGAGTAATAGAAAAGTCGTATTCATTGTTCATAGGAAACAAAAATAGTACAGCCATTTTGGAAGACAGTGTGACAGCTTCTTACAAGTTAAAGACAGTCACATACAATTTAGCTGTCACACTATTAGGTCTTTACCCAAATGAGTTGAAAAGTTATGTCCACACAAAAACCTGCACGCAAATGATTTTAGCAGCTTTATTTATACTTTCCAAAACTTGGATGCAACCAAGACGTCTTTCAAAAGATTAGTGTATAAACTAGTATATTCACACAATGGAATATTACTGAGCCATAAAAAGAAATGAGCTATCAAGACATTGGGGAAAAGACATGTATTAATATTATACATTGCTGAGTGAAGAAGTCAATCTAAAAATTGGTTTTATGCTTTCAACTATGTGACATTCTGGAAAAGGCAAAACTATTGAGACACAAAGATAAGTGGTTGCCAAAGGTTAGGAGGAAGGAGGGAGAGATAAATAGGTGAAGCACAGGACATTTTTAGGTTAATTAAAATACTGAGTACAATATCATAATGGTGAATACACATACAATGCACTTGTGAAACCCTATAGAGTTATGGAAAAGATCATTTTCATTCCAATCCCAAAGAAAGGCAATGCCAAAGAATGCTCCAACTAACCCACAACTGTACTCTCTTACACGCTAGTAAACTAATGCTCAAAATTCTCCAAGCCAGGCTTCAGCAATATGTGAACCGTGAACTTCCAGATGTTCAAGCTGGTTTTAGAAAAGGNTTGAGAGTCTCTTGGACTGCAAGGAGATCCAACCAGTCCATCCTAAAGGAAATCAGTTCTGGGTGTTCATTGGTAGGACTGATGTTGAAGCTGAAACTCCAATATTTTGGCCACCTAATGTGAAGAGCTCACTCATTTGTAAAGACCCTGATGCAGGGAAAGATTGGAGGCAGGAGGAGAAAGGGACAACAGAGGATGAGATGGTTAGATGGCATCACTGACTCAACGGACGTGAGTTTGGGTGGACTCTGGGTATTGGTGATGGACAGGGAGGCCTGGCGTCCTGCAGTTCATGGGGTTGCAAAGAGTCAGACACGACTGAGCGACTGAACTGAACTGAACTGATAGAGTTATATGGGATTCCCTAGTGGCTCAGATGGTAATTAATCTGCCTGCAATGCAGGAAATCTTGGTTCGATCCCTGGGTCCAGAAGATCCTCTGGAGAAGAGAATGGCTACCCACTCCAGGATTCTTACCTTTAGAATTCCAGAGACAGATGATAAAATAAAGAGTGAAACCCAAGTATAGAGTTTAGATAATTATAATGCATCAATATTGGTTCATCAATTTTAAATTGTACCTGCTAATCTAAGATGTTAATAATAGGGAAAATTGTGAGATATAGAGAAAGACTAAATGGAAATCTATACAATTTTGCTGCAAACTTAAATTTTTCCTTTAAAAAAAAGCATATTAAGAAAAAAAGTGGTAATCAACTTTTGAATCCAGAAAGAATCATGCAAAAGTTGACAATATAATGTAATAATCATTATATACAGACATATGTGAAATACTTTAGTGAAATAGGAGAGTAACAGAATTGGGAAAAGCTATGTAATGAAGAATNGAAAGAATCATGCAAAAGTTGATAATATAATGTAATAATCATTATATACAGACATATGTGA